AGCATTTGACACGGATACAATATACATGGTGGTACGTGATTTTTGCCATGCGGAAGTGCTATGAAAAAATATAGGCACGAGGTGCCATACATGTAAGATTGAATGTTGTGACTTATGATTTGAGATTACGAGGAGTGGTACCTCGGGTAACTCTTATTGTAAATTGTACATTAGGAACGATTTGATTGATTGAATTATCATCCGTTTCTTTATTACTCATTTATTTCTTGTTGCTATTCGTGCTTTTATTATTTTCACTGTTGGTAGTAAATTTGTGGTCCTTCTGTTGTTGGTCTTACATTGACGTTCTTTACATTGTTAGCTTTAAGTTATATCCTGCCCAAGTTTACATGTCTGGTAGGTGTCTTGAACTGGCCTCGTCACTACTCTACCGAGGTTAGACTTAATACTTACTGGGTACCGTTGTGTGTACTCATGCTACGCTTCTGCATATTTTTGTGCAAATTCAGGTACTTATGATCAAGTTGGTTTGAGACTTATGTTTGGGCGACTGGAGACTTCAAGGTATACCTGGTTGACGTTCGCAGGCTTCGAAGTCACCTGTTGTATTTTATTTCCATTGTTTCATATTATTCTAGGACAATGATGTATTGTTATTTCTAGTGACTCTTAGAAAAGCTTATGACTTGTATTATCGACTTTGGGATTGTATGATTGATGTTGGCTCAGTTATATTGTATCAACTATTATTTAATGTATTGCAGTTAAGTAGTTAAGTTTCAATAATAATCAGCATATGTTAGGCTTACCTGGTCTTAGAGATTTGGTGTCATCACGACATCCTAAGGTGGGAAACTGGGGTCGTGAGATATTGCCTTCCTTGTGTTTAATTACATCTTTAAATTGTTGAACTACTTGTAATTGAAGTTGTTATTTCGTGAAATATTTTACTGTTGAGTTATTAGTGTTGAAGTTGAGAAAGCCGTTATCACATTGAGGCGAAATAGTTAATTGTTAAGATATCTTTTTTATTGAGCTATTCACTTTTATTTTATCATTGTTGAGATTCTTGTACACATTGTGGTTACGCCATAGGCTATTTGTTGTGAAAATATTGATATTATTGATTCTTTTGGCAAGTTGTGGCATATGACACTTGTGGTGCGAGTCGTGATTATGTTGTAATATTGATATGCATGCAGTGGCATAAGGCTTGGGATTGATATACATATGGTGAGATAAGACGGGCTTGATACGAGTGTTGCTAGTAAGGGAACTACTTGAAGTCACGCGGTGTAATAAGTTGGGCTAAAACAGGGATAGCTATATCGAGAAAAATAATTTTCAAAATGCCAAATACCTAGATAGCCCCTTAAACTTGGCTCCGCATATCATTTTAACACTCAAACTTAAGGTTGTTCCTATTGAACACTCCACCATCATTCATGAACCCTTCTTGTGACATGGCAAAAGAAGTGATTTTCACTTAGAGTTTGAGCGCCTGAATCACTTAAGTAACCTTTTTTTCCTTCTTTTTTCAAATATGTTTTTTACTTTCTTCTTCTTTTTCATTTCTTGATTCTTTTTCTCGTAGTGTTTTTTTTTTTTTTTTTCT